TAACTACGATACATAAAAATTAGGTGGGTAAAAAGAAGAAAGAATATATATATATATATATATATATATAATATATATATATATATATATATATATATATATATATATATATATATATATATATATATATTATATATATATGGCCTTAACAAAGAAACGCCTATATCATTTCCAAGACTGAACAAACTTCTATTTCGCTTTGCAAACACACGGGGCAAGTTCTAGGCATCCAATGCAGTGCACAAAATACAACAATCCTCACACACACATGGCATATGACTCACTCCAGATTGGATCATCGAAACGCTCTAGTCAGAGTACTTAAGCCAAATTAAGAACATACAATTTAAGGCACTCTAATAAGAATCAACAACTGAGCCTAAGCGTCACACTAAAGTATCTACTGTATTCAAGGCATAATGACGATAAAGGATCCTTCTTCCATATCGGCCCTTAGCCCAAAAGTACCAAAAAAAACTAACTAAGCCAGTTCAAACAAAAACCCTTGGAAAAGAACCGTTGTCAAAAGAAAAACCAAGGGGTAATTGATACACTACCTACAAAAGAAAATCTTTTTTTTGAGTATATCGACGTAGACCCTCAAGAAACCCGTCGAGTGATATCTGTCGTCGGGACAAGTCGAACACGCTTAGATTACTAATCAAAAATGAAAATCAAACTAACCAACGACTACAATCAAATTAACCAAAGACTACAATCAAACTAGAATTAAGCTACATTCCTATATATACACAACATACAACCGAAGTAACCCCCACCCCACACTTAAAAAAATGTCATGTCCTCATGTCATAAAATAGAAAGTAGTGCGAGGCAAAGGAACTTCCCAGGAAGATCAGTCTTGATCAGAGACTGTGTCGGGGTCTAAGTGACACGCTCTCCCCGGCGCAGGCAACCAGCCCATGATTTTCTTCTCGGATTTAGCATTTTGGGTGGCTAAGGCATCAACTCTAGTCCCCAAGTCTGTGACTGTAGTCCGCAGCCCTGCCATTTCCTGCTCTAAGGCTGCCAGCCGTGTAACCCGACCAACCCCGGATTGCCTTTCAGCTTCCACAACATGCTCGTGGGGGGAGGGGGGCGACGCAGCCCCCACTTCATCCTGCTCATCATCCCCCTCCTCAGATGCCTCAGAATCATCACTATTAGTGGAACTGGCTGCCGCTGCCTCTTTCCCAATGGTCACCTTGGCCGCTCGGAACATGGTCTCTTTCTTCACCTTGCCGTCTACATGGGGGTTCTCTACTACCCCTACAGCCCGACACAATCAAGTGACCAGAGATGGGAAAAACAACCCATACCTCCGTAGTGATGAATGGGTGAACATCTCCGAGTGAATAACCTCGGCCACATCAAAATCGTGGCCATTCATAAAGCACCGGATCAAAGCAGCTCGCGGTCCATTGACTTCAGTGGTGTTGTGGGACGGCAGCAGTCGGCTGTTAATGATGTACAACCAACACTTGCCTTCACAGGTGAGTGAAGAGGAGTGCGACTTTGATCCCTGAGTAACCCACAGTACCTCCTTGTCTGGTTTACAGTTAGTTTGGAAAAAGAAAAAAAACTAATTAAAAAGGGGGGTGAAGGGGTGGGGGAAATATAAATAAATAAAAAACGTACCTGATGTCGCCTAATCCGTGGCCAGATCCGCGGCCGCGGACAGAAAACTTGCCAAATTCGCGGTCAATCCGTGGCCGCGGATTAGACGTCCAATTTTTTTTTTTTTTGTTTGTACCTACCTCAGGGCTACATACGTAACTCCGACGAATACAACAAATCAATGGGTTGCCTCCCATGAAGCGCCTGATTTAACGTTGCGGCACGACGCAGGCTTTGATCATCACTCCTCATTCGCGTACTGGGGCTCTTCCAAAGTTATTACCACTCTATCCCCTTTTTTTTCGGCCATTCCAAGGTAATGTTTCAGCCTTTGCCCATTCACCGTGAACTTATTTGTCCCATCTTCTGATTCAATCTCCACAGCTCCACTTAAGAACATTTGCACCACTCTGAAGGGTCCTGACCATCGGGACTTCAACTTACCCGGAAACAATCTCAATATATGTCTGTAATTTCATACATAAAGAGGAAGATTAAAAACTCATCGATCTCCTTACCGCTCCGTGGGGGTCTTCATTCACTCTTCTCTTACTTTCCCTACTTCTAGAAAAAAAAATGTTGAACAAAAACGATCTTTCTAAAGTTAAGGCAGCAGATCGGTCGGCTGCGGGACGGGGCCGGGAGCAGTTGTCGAGTTGTATAACAATACTAGATCTCTGGGTTTGAAGTTTCAATCCAAGATGTGCTTATCATGCATTAGTTTCATCCTTTCTTTGTATAGTCTAGCACTCTCAAATGCCTGGAACCTGAATTCCTCGAGCTCATGTAACCCAGTGATTCTGCTGGTGCCTGCTATCTCCATATCCAAATTCTATTGTCGCAATGCCCAAAATGCTTTATGTTCGAGCTCTACCAGAAGGTGGCATGCCTTTCCAAATACCAACTTGTACGGTGACATACCAATTGGAGTTTTGAATGCTGTGCGGTACGCCCACAATGCATCATCCAGCTTCTTCGCCCAATTGGTCCTTGTTGCATTCACTGTTTTTGTAAGGACACTTATTTGACACTTCAACTTGCCCGCTCGACTGTGGGTGATAAGGGGTGGTCACCTTATGATGAACTCCGTACTTTTCCAACAGCCGTGCGAATGCTCTATTGCAAAAATGGGTTCCACCATCATTGCTTATAGCTCTCGGGGTGCCAAAACGTCTGAAGATGTTTTTCTTTTGAAACCCTGTTACCCCTTTTGCATCATTGGTTGGGAGAGCCACCGCTTCGACCCACTTGGAGACATAGTCAACCGCTTCCAATATATATTTGTTACCATACGAGCTGCCGAACGGCCCCATAAAGTCGATCCCCCACATGTTAAAAACCACCACCTCTTGAATTGTGGTCATTGGCATCTCGTGACAGCGAGAAATGTTGCCTGTCTTTTGGCATTCATCGCAACTTTTGACCCAAGCGTGGGCATCCTTGAACAGAGTTGGCCAATACAAACCCGATTCCAACACCTTAGCTGCTGTCCGAATTCCTCCAATGTGTCCACCATATGGGAAGCATGACAAGCCTGCAAAACAGAAGGTTGATCTTTCTCGGGGATACACCTCCGGATCGTGTTATCAACACATATCTTAAAAAGTAGAGGTTCATCCCAATAATAAGATCGACAATCGCGGAAGAACTTTTTCTTTTGAATGGAGGAGAGATCATAAGGTACAATACCGCTTGCTAAGTAATTAGCAATATCATCATACCATGGCGCCTCTTCCATTGTCACAACAAGTAACTATTCATCTGGGAATGTCTTTGTGATATCTTCAACCTCCAGTCTCTTTTCTGCTCCTTCCAACCTCGAGAGGTGGTCTGCCACTTGATTGTCCGTCCCGTTTCTGTCACGGATTTCTAGATCGAATTCTTGTAGCAAAAGAACCCAGCGAATCAAGCGTGGCTTTGACTCCTTCTTTGCTATCAAGTACCTAATTGCTGCATGGTCAGTATAAACAATAACTTTTGAGCCAATTAAGTACGACCTAAATTTGTCGAAGGCAAACACTACAGCGAGCATTTCCTTTTTCGTGACAGTGTAATTAAGCTGTGCACCATTGAGCGTCCTGCTTGCATAGTAAATCGGGTGCACCATCTTGTCTTTGCGTTGCCCTAAGACTGCTCCTATAGAATAATCACTGGCGTCGCACATGAGCTCGAACGGTTTCTCCCAGTTGAGTGCAACAATGATGGGTGCAGTCACCAATCTCTTTTTCAGCTCCTCAAAGGCCAACCTGCAATCATCAGAAAATACAAAGGGCTGGTCTTTTTCAAGCAGCTTACATAAGGGGTTAGCAATCTCGGAAAAATCCTTAATGAACCGCCTATAGAACCCGGCGTGCCCAAGGAAACTTCTCACTGCCTTTACCCAAGTGGGTGGCGGCCGCTTCTCAATCATATCAACCTTGACTTGGTCAACTTCTATTCCCTTTTTGGACACTCGATGCCCCAACACTATTCCTTCTTGTACCATAAAATGGCACTTCTCCCAATTCAGCACTAGATTTGTCTCCACACATATTTTGAGCACTCTTCTTAGGTTGTGAAGACAATCTTCGAATGAATCCCCCACCACGAAGAAATCATCCATAAACACCTCCATAATATCCTCAACCATGTCAGTGAAAATGGCTAACATGCACCGCTGGAATGTAGTCGGTGCATTGCAAAGTCCAAAAGGCATTCTCCGAAAGGCAAAGATGCCATACGAACAAGTGAAGGACGTTTTCTGTCTATCTTCTGGGGCTATTGAGATCTGGTTATACCCCGAGTATCCGTCCAAGAAACAGAAGTGGATCGCCCAGCTAACCTATCCAACATCTGGTCAATGAAAGGCAGTGGGAAATGGTCCTTCTGGGTGGCTTGTGTTCAGTTTCCGATAGTCCATGCAAATCCGCTACCCTGTGACTGTACGAGTTGAGATAAGCTCGTTCTTCTCTTTCTGTATTACCGTCATTCCTCCCTTTTTTGGTACACACTGGACAGGGCTGACCCAATTGCTGTCAGAGATGGGGAAGATGATACCCGCATCTAACCATTTGATCACTTCCTTCTTCACCACCTCTTTCATATTCGGGTTCAGCCTTCGTTGATGTTAAGGTTTGTGCCCTTCTTCTAAGAGAATCTTGTGCATACAAAAAAGCTGGACCGATACCCTTTATGTCCGCCATGGTTCAACAAATGGCAGTCTTACATTCTTGTAACACCTATAGGAGTTGCTCTACCTGCACAGCTAGCAAACCAGATATATAATAACAGGTAAAGTAGAATTAGGCCCTAAGAAAGCGTACCTGAGGTGAGCTGGAAGCGTTTCAGGACCAACTGTGGTGGATCATCTATCGATGGTTTCGCAGGTAGTGTTGTTCTTTCTTCTAAGTGTAGGGGCTCGAACTGGGGTTCCCTTGTCCAGAACCCTTGACCTTCGAGAGCCATGACCCACTCTGCCAACTCCTCACCATCCACATTAGATTCATCAAGCAAGCTTCTAACGGATCCCTGACATTAATAGTCTCATCCTCCTCTTGTAGTATCACATCCACGGCCTCCACTAGCGAGCAATTTGCAAATTCGCTGGGTCTCCTCATAGATTGTTGAACATTGAATATGATTTCTTCATTGTTCAACCTCATTTTCAGTTCCCCAGTCTCACAATCAATCAATGCTCTCCCAGTGGCTAAAAACGGCCTACCCAGAACGATTGGTATCTCTTCATCCACTTGACAGTCAAGAATGACGAAGTCTGAAGGGAATACAAATTTCCCCACTTGAACAAGCACATCATCAAGAATTCCTGTCGGTCTTTTCACTGTGCGATCAGCCAGTTGCAGCAACATTGAGGTCGGTCTAGCTCTGCCAATTCCCAATTTTGTATAGATTGCCAAGGGCATCAAGTTTATACTGGCTCCCAAATCACACAATGCTTTAGCAAAAGCATAACTCCCAATGGTGCATGGGATAGTGAAACTACCTGGATCAGACAGCTTTTGATCCATAAGTCTTGTCACTACCGCGCTGCAGGTCTGCGTCAGAGTTACAGTGGACAGGTCCTGGAAGTCAAATTTTCACGACATTAGGTCCTTCATCATTTTTGCATACCCTGGCATTTCCCTCAAAGCATCCATCAGTGGAATATTCAATTGAATTTGTCTGAGTATTTCCATGTATTTCCAGTATTGATCATCTTTCTTTTGCTTTGCCAACCTCTGAGGGAATGGTGCAGGAATCAACCTCTGCCCACTACTTTGCGTCTTTTCTGTGCTGGAAGCTTTTCTACTACCTGTTCTGGGAGTTGTTCACCTTACTTCTCCTTACCCTTGTCAACCTGTGCTTGCTCGATTACAACCTCGGTGAGCTCTATCGACTCATCGATCTCTAATGTAACTGGAGCAGCTGGAGTAGTTGGCGTAGTTTCTCTCCTGGATTGAGCAACTTCTTGCTCCCTATCTAAATCTCTCCCATTCCTGAGACTCACTTCCATGAGCTGATTCGGGTTCTGCTCCTTTGGATTAACGTTTGTATCTGCAGGCAATGTTCCTTGTGGGCGATTGTTCAAGGCCATAGATAGTTGTCCTAATTGAGTTTCAATGCCTTTGATTGCTGAATCATGTGCAGCTAACTTCTCTTGCATCTTTCCATTTGTCCCAATGAGTTGTTGCAGCATACCCCTGATTTCGATCATGTTACTATCCTGCTGCTGATGAGGTGGTTGGTAGGTCAACTGTTGCTGATGTTGCTGATTATAGCCATGTTGCCTTTGATAGGGTATGACTTGGCCTTGTGGTCGTGCTCCTCCTGGATTGGGGTTGTGCTGTGGCTGGTTCGGTCTGTACTGTTGGTTTTCTGTTGGTCCCCATTACTGCCCACCTTGCCTCTGACCTCCAAAATTATTGACATAATTCATGTCTTCTGTGAATCCCTGGTTGTCATTCTCACCACTCCACGAGCATACATATGACTGGTTTATGCAAGGAGTGCACAAGCCTCCATTTGTGGTATCCACAATGTGCACTTGTTTCGTATCCATCTCATCGATTTTCCTTGTGAGCAAGCTCATCTGGATCATAAGAGTGGCTATGTTTTGTGCATGTGTGTTGTTTGGGTCAAGAGCGACAAAATGCACTATTGGAGTGAGTGTTGTGTCTCTCGTCATCCAGTCTGAATTTTGAGACATCTTGTCAAGAAGAATCTTGCACTCTATGAAAGTTTTGTTCAAGAATGCACCCCCAGCAGAAGCATCTACATTGGCCTTCAAACTGTCAGCCAAACCCATATAGAATCTCTGTCCCAGCATCTGATCAGGAATGCCATGGTGAGGGCACTTCACCAACATGCCCTTAAACCTCTCCCGGGTCTCTTTCAAAGTCTCAGTCGGTTTCTGCCTGAATTGCAATATCTCATCAATCTGCCTCGCAGTTATGTTGGGTGGATAAAACTTGTTTAAGAACTGCTTGACTAGTTCCTCCCAAGTAGCAATGGAGTTTATTAGGAGAGAATTCAGCCAAGTTTGAGCCTCCCCTGTTACTGAGAATGGGAACAATAATAATTTGATTATCTCAGGAGTCACATTCGGTTGTCTTTGAGTCACACATATTGATAGGAAGTTCTTCATATGTTGTTGTGGGTCTTTGATGTATGACCCGGAGAACAGCCCTTTATTCTGCAACAAGTGCAGCATGTTATTGGTAATCTGGAATGTCTCCGCTTGTATTGGAGTAACTGCAATTGCTGTGGCCAAGTTATCAGCCATTGGCTGCGCCCAATCATAAAGAGCAGCTTCCGGCACAAGAGGTGCTACCACTCTGACGTTTGGGTCATCTGATCATTCATGTTGTTCCCGTTGACGTTGTTTACGTCATCCATTTCAATTTCAATTAGTTCGCTTTATTTCAGCTGTTTGCTCTTCTTGTTAGCCCGACTCAAAGTCCGGAATGTTTTCTCGGGATCTAAGAGTCCTTCAAAGAGTTTACCTGTTCTCGAAGAGCTTCTAGGCATGCACTTGAGTTACAGAAGAGTTCAACCATGAGAATTTCAATGGAAATATTTTTAACACCACAGAAAATTGGTCGCTGCAAATATATAATCCGGTTCAGACCAGAGTCGAATCCCACAGGGAACTAACCTATTTACTACAACTTTTAACACTATGAAGGAATAGCTCAAACAATCCCCGGATGCAAGATATTTTTAATGGATAATGAGTAGATATTAGTTAACTAAGAAAAAATAATAATAAAACTAGCAATAATCAAGAATAGAGTTGAATTCAATGGTAAAATGGTCTAGGGTTATTGATTTCCCCAATTGTCGGATTAATTCCTGCCACGTTAGCTACAATCTCGCCGTAATACGCTACAAGAAATATGAGTTATGTGTTACCGCAATTATCTCTCGATCAATTGCGATAATTTACTAGAAGCATTCTCTCAAACTACTCTAGTTGACAATTTATGCAACTCAGAATTATCCCACCAAAGTTTGTTATCTCTAACCCTGCTTTTAAATTTAAGTAATTAATCTCTTAATTTACCCGAAAGTGGTGTTGTTCAACAACAATCTAACCCAGTGTTCTTTCTCAAGCAATACAAGGTAACTAGACACGATTAATCAAGGGACCTTTTAATTAATCACAGGGAAACACATAGTTGAACAATTATAGAGTAAGAAACGGCTTAATTATATCAAAACGTAATCAAGACTTCATCAAACAATTGGTTCTATCAATCCTAGATTAGATGTTTAGCTACGCATAGTCGTTTTCACAATCATACTGATATAACTCATTCTCAATGATAAAAACAAGAAGAAGAAAGGTAAAAGCTCTATGCCAAATCTTCCGCCTTGCTTCTTGCCTGTTCTTGCCTTCAAAAACACTTCAAATACCTCGATATCCTCTATTTGGGCGAGCTGGGCTTATTATAGGTCAAGGAGAGTCGTCCTGGAAATTACACAATTGACCTTGCAATGTTTGGCTCCAAACACCCCGTCCGCGGCCGCAGATGGACCGCGGATTCAACATATGTTCTGTCCGCGGCCGCGGATTGACCGCGGACCTGGGCGCGGACTTCATATTTGCTCTTTCTTCTCTTTTTCGATCATGTTGTCCTTCGGTTGGCCTTCCATGCTCCATATTGACTCCAAAATACTCTTTTAGCTTTCTCCTAGCTCGGAGTGACTCCTGCAAAGCAATAAACTCGTAATTAGAGCATTTTGTTATCTTTTACAATCAAACATAGGTAAAGTGCGGCCAAATTAGAGTGCAAATATTAGCTAACTCGCATGATTATCATCTATTATCAGGCACCTAAAAAACAAGCTCGTTTATGTTATTCAAACCCAAGTGTCTACCCTAATTAAGCCTTGACTCACATCTATAAGGGGGCATGTATTCCCTCTGAGAGGCATCTCGAAAATTCTATAAATTCTTGTGATATTCACAAAAAGATCAAAAGATCTCGAAAAATCCATAAACACTTAGGATATTTACTAAGAGATCAAAGACGAAGTGATCAAGATAGATATGCCACCGGACACTTCCTAAAGATCAATTTGAAATGTGACTGGATGCTTCTTTTGATAATTAGATAATTCAAGAAGATCCATAACATTCTTCGTTCGAGAGATATGCCACTTTGGCCCTCGATTGAAGAAAAAAGAAGATAGATCAAGAAAGTTATTTCTCGTGATCGATTCAAAATATTGCTCGATTGATTTTCATAGGGATCAAATACATCTCAAGAAAGTCCGCATTATCCTACGTTTGAAAAACACGCTGCTTCAGCCCTAAAATCATAGAGAACAATTTGGAAAAAAATTAAGGGATAAACAGAATTGTAAGTTTGTAACTACAACGGTTCATTAATAAAATAGTCACTTTTAAGATTGCTAATTAACGTTTAGTTGCTATTTCAAATTATTCAAACTTTAGTCGATTTATACTATCAAAATATGAAATTTAGACAAAATTCCCCTAGCTAACACATGAAAAAGCTCCAGAAAAATTTACATTCAAACTCTACAAAAGTATTTTCTAGAATTTGAGGCAGTAATCTATCTATATCTATCTATATCTATATTTATATTATTTTAAAAGCACGAATAATTTATGCTAAATGTTGAACGACTAAAATATCCCTAAAATATTGATTGACTTTTATACCTTTTAGTCTTATTTTACTATATTTCTATTGGTTTTTGGTAATTTAAAAAATATCGTAATTACTTTCTAGACGAACGAGGATTCGTAATATAAAGTCAAGTTTTTTTTTTGGTTCGAGACATAAACTCAAGTTAATTCCAAAAAAGAATTCATATCCTTAGTAGTATTAGAGTTAATTTACGGTTAGACCAAGTACGAATTTGACTATGAATGGACATTACACAAAAAAAAAAAGACATCATGCTTTACATGGAACAACATAAAATACTTAAACCATTCGATTAGATTTTTATATTGCTCAAATCTTTCATCACAAATACGAATAGTCTACGTAATTTTATCCTTGCTATCTAACCATTATTTATTCACGATAATTTGTTTATACTTTATAGGATAGTGTTTTATGAAATTTCTAAGTTCTAGGTATGTGCTTTTGACCCACTTTCAAAGTTCTATTTCATATTTTAGATCTTTATGGAAAGAGTAATACGACAGTCTACATATAAATCCATTTTGATTCACCTTAAAGTATCAGTTTTCACGCTAAAAATAAAAGTAATACAAAGGGATGAAAATGAAGAGCTAAATCGCTGAAGACCTTCGCTGAATTATTGATATTTCATATATGGATTGATCTGTTCAACTCAAATAGATACTATTTCCAGATACCTGAACTAAAGTATACCATTGCATCACCAAAATATTAATATTGTTGTATTTTCCAAGTGTCTTTACGAATTTAATCACATAAGTTTAATTGTGTCAAAACTTTATTAATGAATTGGTTTGGTTTATACGTATATTTTCTTTTATGCTACGAAATTGGTTATGTATCTCATATATGTTTGAGTAAACATTTGGAATATCTATGCAATTGAAGGCTTATTACTTTCGATATGCATTTTGTATTTGACACATATCTACATGCAATTGTATAATAATAATAATAATAATAATAATAATAATAATAATAATAATAATAATAATAATAATAATTATTATTATTATTATTATTATTATTATATTATTATTATTATTATTATTATTATTATTATTGTTGTTGTTGTTGTTGTTGTTGTTGTTGTTGTTTTTGTTGTTGTTGTTGTTGTTGTTGTTGTTCTTATTATTATTATTATTATTATTATTATTATTATTATTATTATTATTATTATAAAAACACAAAAATTCAAGGCGGAATTGTTGATTATTGACTAAATATCTACGTGCAATTATTAATGTGCAACGTACGTTCATAGAGACTAGTTATTATAAAAGCATGAATAATTTATGCTAAATGTTGAACAACTAAAATATCCTTAAAATATTGATCGACTTTTATGCCCTTAAATATTTATATAATTTAAGAATATAATTGTAAATCACCTACGGCTAGAATTCTATTCCGATTTAAGTTATACATACAATCGAGCAAAAAAGGAAAATGTGCGAAGGTGAAATACTCCTATCCAAATTAATTTTGGATTCATCCTCCAGCACCAATTCGCTGCTACCCCATCTCCAATATTATACAACAATAAACTGGTTAAAATAATTAAGAATACGAAAAAATAGATGAGTGCCAACAGGCAATATCCAATTTACATAATTTTTACTTAGTAATGTTGGTTAATTGTTTTATCGTTCTCTTTTTAGTTATATAGCCCCACGTGCGAGGCACGTGAAATAGAGACTAGTACTATATTAAAAGCACGAAGCCTTTTAGCGAAATGTCGTTTGCCCTTTATACCCTTTAAAAATTGGTTTCACATATTTAATTATTTTCCTAACGTTTAGGACTTTGAAACCAAATAAAATTTTACTTGTTATATTTTTCCTTATTTGAAATATATAAAGGTCCTTAAATTTAGACTTCAACCGACATGAAATACGTTAATTAAATTAAAACTACACTAATGTTACCATCTAAACAAAGCTAAACCTCCCTTATCCTTCGAAAATTTTTATAAAAAAAAAAACTGAATTGAATATTGCTAAATGCAAAATCCTACAAAATTTAAATGAACTAATATTTAGGATTCTAAATTCATGATTAGAACTTTAATTAAATTTTTTGAAACTTCTTATCCTTTTAGTTAATTAAAAAATAATTTTATTTTCAGCTAAAAATTATGAATGGTTCATAAAAACAAGTAACAACATTGAATTTGCATTGGAACAGAAGATCTCAAACTTTCAGTCATAGCCAAATTTGAATGTGTAAAGCCTTCATTGAAAAATAAATATTGATCTGTACAATTAGGATATATTCTATTTTTATTATTTATTTTTTATTAACCAAGGGTCTAAGAAAAAACTTTATCAATTAAAATTATTGAATATTTATAATAATGAAATAATAATAATAATAATAATAATAATAATAATAATAATAATAATAATAATAAGCATTAATTTTCTATCTTAACTTTTTTATGACTATTATTTTATTTCTTTCTAGAATTAAATTTAGTTGGATTCAAATATTACCATCCATTTAAATTCTTTGTATGGTAACTAAACTTAATATATAAACTCTCTTTTTCAATTTTAGTTCCAATAGGAATACGATGAAGTTCATGTTAGGTAGTTGAGCAAATATAATTCATGTATCTAAGACAATGAAGAAACATAGTATTGTTGCATAATATTAATGTACAAGTATTCAATTCTAAGCTACTAACGCAAATGCATAACGCATACATTAAAGTTATGATAAAGCGTTAGGAAGCTTTTGCATGACATAGTTTTTTTCCTCTATTAAATCGGCCAAATATGATTAATATTAATTATTTTCAAGAGTTTGTAATTTTAAAAAATATATTCTATAACTTAATTACATAGTTTAATAGTATTTGCGATATTTTTAAATTTTATGCTCATTGATATAGAGTACAGACGCAACACGCATATCCTAAGATTAGTATTATATTAAAAGCACAAATGTCCGTAGCGTAATGTCATTTGTCATTTTACCTTTGAAAAACAAATTTTACATTGGATAAATTATAATTGAATTATTTTTCTAATATTTAAGACTTTGAAATGAACTACAATTTTGTTAAAGTCCTTCTTTATTTAGAATATGTAAGAAATCTTAATATTTAACACTTTAAAATCCATTAAAAATTAATTCTTATAAACAATTCATTTTTTAAACTAGGTTTGTTGTTTTGTGTGACGACCCAACCCGTCGTCTCATGTATTACAGCCCCGTTTCCCCCATTTATTGCTCTTTCATGTCTTATTATCAGCATCGAGTGAGTTAGAGTTTAATTGAATTGGTTTGGATAGGAAATGAGACACTTAGTCTCTTTAAGGAAGGTTTGGTTTGGAAAAGTCAACCGAATGTTGACTTATTAGTTAGAAAGCTCGGATGTGAATTCCGGTGTTTCGGTTAGCTTCAGGAGGTGATTTGTGACTTAGGAGTGCGATCGGAAGTGATTTTGGAGGTTCGGTGTAGAATTTGGCTTGAATTGGCAAAGTTGGCATTTTGGCGAATTCCGGTGGATAGGTGAGATTTTGATCCGAGGGTCGGAATGGAATTTCAGTAGCTCCGTTAGGTGATTTTGGATATGTGTGCAAAATTTCAAGTCATTCGGAGGTGTTTTGGTCGGGTTTTTGATCGAATGCGTAATTCGGAAGTTTTTAAGAAACTTAGGCTTGAATTTGATGTGATTTGATGGTTTTAGCGGTGTTTAATGTGTTTTAAAGATTGGAACAAGTTTGAATAAGGTATTAGGATGTGTTGGTGTTTTTGGTTGAGGTCCCGGGGGCCTCGGGGTGAATTCGGGTGGTTAAACGAGCGTTTTGAGGTGTGTTGCAGGCTCAGTTTTTTTCTGTCATCTGGTATTTCCGCTTCTGCGGAAAAGGACCGCAGAAGCGGTTCCGCAGAAGCGGGTAAGGGAGCGCAGAAGCGGTTCGTATCCTGGTGGGGTGTTTCCGCAAAAGCGGAACATTCTTCGCAAATGCGAGTCCGCAGAAGCGGTCTTGAGTGGTTCGCAGAAGCGGAATTTGAGCCGCAAAAGCGGAAGTTGGTTTTTTTTAATGAGGACAGCAAAAGCGGGATTTTTGGCCGCAGAAGCGGTCCCGCATAAGCGGTAGCGGGACCGCAGAAGCGAAAGTCGCTGGGCAGAAGGGTTTTTATATTATTATTTCATCCGCGAGTCTATTCGTTTTTCCTCCATTGTTAACCACCTTAAGAGCTTGTTGGTAGAAACTGAAGAGGATTTTGATGGCAATTGATTGGAGGTAAGTCTCGTGACCTAGAAACGCCATTTTATCGAAGAATCAGCCTTTAATTCTTGGAAATTTGGGTATAAATTTGAAGAACTAGGGCTTGGGTTTTGAAATGAAAATTTGGGATTTGAAGGGGCATTTGAACTCCGATTTTGGTAAATTTTATATGTACGGACTTGTGGCGAGACGAGGAATCCGGTAATGTAAATTTCGTAATTTTCGAGAAGTGGGCCCGGGGCTCGGGTTTTGTCAACTTCGTGAATTTTGGTATTTTTCGAGTCTTTTCGATTGGGTTATGTTTCTTTAGCCTATTGTAATGTATTCGTTGTGGTTTTAATCAGATTCGGCGTGCGGAGAAGTTGATTCGAAAGGCAAAGGCATAGCGAGCTAGACTTGTGGCCGGCTTGAGGTGAGTAATAGATGTAGATGATGACCTGAGGGTTTGAAACCCCGGTATATCACATTGTGACGCTATATGGAGGCAAGACACGTACTCTATGACGAGTGCGGGGTCGATTGTGACTGGGAATTGTGACCTAGTCCGTTCCGATTGATGTTCGTACTGTGTTCTTGACTAGAAATTGTTTGGTAATCATCCTACTTGGATTTTATGAATTTGTTTGGGCTTTGTGCCAATCATGTGCATCCATCAGGGATCCTTATCATTGCTTCCATGATGCTTAGCATATTTCATGATATCAGTCCTGAGTTAGACACTGCCTCGAAATGTTTAATAAATAAATAAAGGTTTAAACACTTAGCTCTATAATTCCTAATAATTGAAACTAAAAAAATGAACAATTTAACTGTGCCCGAGTGGCTTGCATGCATATATATATATGTGGACTGAGTGTGGATCGGGCTGCACGCTGCAGCGAATGCTACGATGATATTGCGCTTGGGCTGTAGGAGCCCCTCCCGAGTCTGAACCCCCACAGTGAGCGCGGGTACCCAAATGGATCGGGCTGCGCGCCGCAGCGTCATGTGCATTGCATTGCATTCATGCATTTATACCTATTTGTCTTACTTGTCCTGGTATTGTTGTTGTTCCACCGTTTTATGTGCTGAATCGCTGATCATAGCTTTATATTGTAATATTTCAGAATTTCTTACTTTCAGCCATTATATATGTTTATTACTCACTGAGTTGGAAGTACTCACTTTACTCCCTGCACCATGTGTGCAGATTCAGGTGCTCCGGAGACTTAGTGGAGCTGTTTGCTGTCTTCTTGGATTTTATCTTCAGGAGTTGTCGAGGTAGCTGCCTGACGTCCGCAGGACCCGACTCCTCCCCTTTATTTCATTTATTTCTTTCATATTGTAGACTTCTTTAACAGTAGGGATATATATTACTCTATTACATCTAGAGGCTCCAGACTCGTGACTCCAGATCTATTGGGGAATGTTTGGAATATTCGTTATTATTTTTCGTACTATTTTATTTAGATTCGGATTGGAACCTTGACATTTGCTATCTTAATCGTATTATTTGTTAACAGATTACGTATTTGGGTTGAGAGTATTTAATTGGTCGGGCTTGCCTAGCATCAGTGTTGGGCGCCATCATGACCGGGATTGGGGTCGTGACAACCATAGTTAAGAAATCTACATTTTACCTTAATTTTTTTAAACTTAATTATGATAAGTTAATACGATTTGATATAAACACTAAAAAATACAGCTAACTTTTAACCGTAAAATCGAAATGCAAGGACTGCATGGTAAAAAAAATATTTGTAATACACCCTTGCAACTGAAACTTGTAGTGCTAAAAGCATATTGTGCTAAAGTTTGTAAATGAACGATGCTAACTTCTCAGGTAAAGTGATGAACACATTACAGCTTACCTTTCTGATATATTAACATCACAAACTGATAAAGAAACAAATATCCAATTCTCTAATATATTTATTCCTAAAATGCGTGGTTGCGATTTTGAAGAAAATTTAATCTGAGGGCTATTGGTAAAGCCTTGAATATAACGCAATCATAACTCATAAACATGCAAGGACATAGGACTTTTGCCCGACATCTGATGATAAGGTCCTAACTCGTGGACACAAATTGGGCACGTCTACTCCAACTTGAGGTTCACATAAAAGGCATAAATCTGTCACTTGAACTTCCTGAAAAAGAAAAAAAAAACTCTCCATTCTCTCTCCCCCTAAAAGCAAAACACTAACAAAATGGGGTCTAAAATTTACTCACCAACTCCTCAATTCTCCTGCCAACTTCCCAAAACCAAATCAAGACATATATCTTCATTTTCCTCACTTCAGTTAAAACCCAGAATCAGCATCATAAGTTCACAGCAACAGCCACAATCTGCTGCTGGTGCTGTTACTGAAACAACAATTCCAAGAACTGGTACATACAATGTGGACTTCAAGACTTTTGAAGCTTCCAAACTTGGTATTTCCAGATACCCAGATTTTGTGTATAATGCCAAAGGAGGTTCAGGTACTGGAACTGGCAAAAGAATTGAGTCAAGTGACGAAATTGCCGTTGATTTTGACTTGGAAAAGCTGTACATTCCTCCATTAACATCTGCAACTGCTAAGTTCTTGGGATTACCATTGCCCCCTTTTCTGAAAATTGATGTTGTCCCCGAGCTCCTTAGAGGATATGTCAACCAAGAAACTGGCAAGGTACATTGCTTACCCCTTACTTAATTGTCCTTAAGCTGAAATATATGAATTCATCAAGAAGAAAGAGAAATTAATTTTCAAGCTTATAACTTTAATAGGTCAATCTGGAGTTCAAGGCCAAGTTCTGGTTTTCAGTTGGAACCATCTACAGAGCGCCACCATTGCTTGTGGAGACGCTTTTAACGTCAGAAGAAACGAAGGGAAGAATTAGAGAAGGAAGAGGGGAGAGGCTAAATGAAGAAGGAAGGTGCAAACTTGTTGGGGTGGCAACGGTTGAACCTATTGACGACTTGTTTATGAATACATTCCTTAGCCTTCCAACAGAATGTCTTGCAAAAATGAATGCTAGAATCTCATTTTCCAGTACCTAGAGACTTTGCTAAGCAACAGTTATGTGAGATAGTGTATAGCTCTCAAAGAAAAAATAAAATAGGAAGACCAAGAAACTTCATATTAAAGTTGCAATCTCATTTGAAGTTATAAAACATTTAATATTGAATTTTGTAATTCAGAAAAAGTAGAATTCATGGGAGCATCAGACGTGTGAATATCCAATGATACAGGATTTACAGTAACCAGTACAGTCATACTATATTTTACATCAGTTGTTTATAGCATGTAAACTTTGTATAACTTAGTTATGTTCAAAAGAAAAAAGAGACTTGTTTCTCTGTTTTTCTTCCTGCTATATTCATCCTCCTTCCATTCAACATTCGATCCCTAATGTTTGCCCCTGCAGTGCACAATATCATGCTGCATCTGGAAAGAAGTCAGGATCAGAATGTTTAGGTGTGGTCGAACACAGTTGAGAAAGCTTTTAAAGCAAGGCAACCAATTTAAATTAGCATAACTCACATATTCTGCCTCTGAAATTGTTCTGATAAACTAGCAAAAAACGAGGTGCTATACATTATTCAAATGCGAGCCTCTGAGTGTCAACCAGAGAAGCGTATTGGTCTTTCCTCTCCAACAACTCAAAGTGTGTTCCCAACTCCGCAATCTTCCCATCAGAACAAAGAGCAATTTGATCTGCATTCTGAACTGTGCTCAATCTATGAGCAATAACCAAAGTTGTTCGTCCCTTCATCAGATGGTCCAGTGCTTCTTGGACTAGACGCTCACTTACTGTGTCTAAAGCACTAGTGGCCTGCAGAAAACACAGAAAGCAAGGCCATATTTCATTGAACATATATAGTATCACAATATCATCTAATACCTAAGGATTTGCCATTCATACTTTTACTGGTCCGAGTTCAGCTGGATGGGTATATTTCTATGACGTGAATAATGACCAAGGTCTTCCTAGAGCAGATAGGGTTTAGGCTAAACCAGATTTGCAAAGAGAAAGAAGATACTACGGCCACCCACAGAACTGTAGGGACTATGCTTGTAATGCCACAACAATGCTTGTAAAGCCACAACAATAAAATGTTTAAATCTGCCTATATAATTCAGGCTAAACCAGATTTACAATGAGAAAGAAGATACTAAGGCCACCCACAGAACTGTATTGTAGAGCATACGTTGTGATAGTCAATGGACAGAGAGGGGGCAAAGACTACCTCATCGAGAATCAAAATAGGGGCATTCTTCAGTAGAGCCCTTGCAATAGCAATTCTCTGAAAATGGAAAGATGGCACAGTCAAAAGAACTCTGTAAACTCATGTAGCGAGAAGAGAACAAAATGAAAAGCTCTGATAAGTGCACTGCATTAACAGCAAAGCAATTTACTACCTGCCTCTGTCCACCACTCAATAAACCACCACGTTCCCCAACCAATGTGTCATAACCCTGTCAGTTTTTTCGAGAAATAATTAGCAGAATAGGAGCAAATATGAAATAGACAGACACGGGGACCAACCAGGCAGAAATGAAAAACCTGTGGCATTGAAATTATGAACTCATGAGCATTGGCGGCCTTGGCTGCCTTTATCACATCGTCCTTGGATACATACTCATCAGGGAGACCATAAGCGATATTTTCTCCAACCGATACAGAGAAAAGAACAGGTTCCTACAAGCGAGTTTTTATGCATGTCAGCAACAAATAGAAAGTGATTACAAGGCTCAAAATAACCACTGAGACCATCCAGAATTTGATTTCAAGTTAAATCTTCGATCAAGAAAACTTCATGATGACCCTGAGAGTAGTGTCTCACTGCTTAAACAGTGAGTTTTGGAGAGAAAAGAGTAACACATACTTGATTCACTATAGAGACAACCCGTGCCCATTCACTCTTATCAAATGTTCGCAAATCTTCTCCTGCAACAGTTATGCGGCCTCGAGTTGGCTGCAAGGTCAGGTTATTGACTGATATATTTACCTTTAGACCTTCCTAGAAGGACCACAAAAACTTGTATTAAGGAATATTCAAATAGATATAGAAAGTAGACCTCATAGAAACGTGCTAATAGTTGTACTACTGTACTTTTCCCCGCACCACTTGGTCCCACCAGAGCTGTAACAGTTCCACATTTTAGCGTTAAATTAAGACCACAAAGGATTTCCACATCAGGCCTCACTGGATACGAGAAATACACATCTGCAAACGAAATATGAAAAGCATTTTATTAATTGACAAATGGTGCATTTTCCATTACTTTTTCCCCCCATTTCTTTTTCAGACTATGGAAAGAATTTTGAAGGCCAGATTTCTGAAATCATGGATGAATAGATAAGAATAAGATCTGTTTCTCTAAACAAAAGCAGTCCTCATAAGCAACACATCTTACTGGAAAGAGACCAGAAAATCTCCTTGACTAGAAGCTACAGAAAGATCTACCTTATAGATTTACCCATCTAAAAAGGAACTAAATCCATTATCAAAACTTGTTTTCTGTACCCAGTTTATCGGCTTATCAAAATAAATACTATGCCCACTTTTTACAGTATTGTACAAGCAACACAAAATAAACAGATATGGCAAAAGTGCATACCTTCAAGACAGATATCACCTGTCTCTGCCAGGCTTCGCACACTGCTACCCAATTTTAAGGAAGACATGTATCTTGTTTTGGTAGATTGTTTCTTCTCATTAGAACCATTCACCAAGTATAATTCTAAAGTCTCATCACGGACCTTCTTTTGCTTCATGTCTTTCTCTAAAGAATATGCAAGCGCTTCATCAATTTCAGCTCCGGACAAAACAGAATTAATTCTCTCAGTTGCTGCAAAAGCTGTACGAAGATCTCCAAAGGTATTTACGAGGCCTTGAACCTATAATGCATAATTTGTCAAGCAGATGAAGGAAGATAAAAGTGGGAATTTAAGAGAGTCACGGCACCAAGAATTACTCACTGCGAAAGTTAATGTAAAAGTGTATCCGATAAATGAAGCCACAATTCCCACTGACATTTCACCCTACATATGATATAATTTGATTTATCAGTTAATATGCAAATAAAATCAAATCCATAAGAAGAAGATTATTCCAGAATTACTATTGGAAGGAGAAAACCGTGCAGCCAGATGTACATACTCAAAACTTGAAAAAAAAATTACAGCTTAAGATGGATAAACTCTTGACGATATAAATATCCATAACTTTGCTTAAAGTACTTACTGCCTTTACTTTGCTTCCACCAAGACAATATAAAGCCATCAAGGAGATATAAACTGCCACCCTAGTCACTGACTCATTGAAGGATTTAAAGGTTCCAAGCTTTATGCCACTACTCTCATACTCGAGTACCTGTCAAACTCCACAAATACGCTCTAGCATCTCTAGAAGAGCAACTATGATAAACTAGTCCTTACTCTGAATCTAAGAAAATCATATAGCCTCTAAGTTACCTGGCGAGCAAACACTGACATCTGACGCTTCTCCCCACTAAATGACCTCACCTGCAGAAGAGGTCAGTGTCGTATTCGTTACCACCAAAGAAGTGCAAGGGCATCACATGAAAATCTGAAATTTAGTAGTTATAGTTACAGAAGTTGAGGTAAAATCTGAATGGGCTATAGATCATGAACTTACAGTGCGAATGGCAGAAAATGATTCGGCCACAGAGTCAGCTATTGATGCTTGGACCAGTCCATGAGCTTTGAAGACATTTACAGTTGTCCTCTTGTACACAGCTAATAAGTTCACAACCATTAGGAAGGTGAACAGACAACTCAAACAGAATACCAGTAATTACCAAAACCCATCAATTATCTTCTTCTGCATTTCCATTTCGACCAATTACTTGCGCCTTTGTTACCAAGAAACCATATTTGATTTCTGATGTGGCATTTCTTTTCTTTCGCATATATCAAGATAGATATGATCTTAAGTAATATAATTAATCAGCACATATAGTCAATACAATCAAGCTGAAGTGACACTACTAGAATTTATAAAATATATTAATTAAGTTATATCATTCAAGCTGAAGAATGTATTACTGTTTTATTATGATTACAACTATTAAGGGCACACTGAGAAACTGTGAATTAAACAAAGGTAATAGCCATACCTATAGCATGTCAGAGTGCACAGAAAAGACAGTAATATCAGAAATAAAATATTTACCGACTAAAATAGACACGGTGAGCATGAGTACGCCCAAAATTGGAGCAAGCTGGGGAGATAGAGCAAACAATAAGGACAATGTTCCAACCACCTGCATGAAAAAGAGAATCCAGCTAGGTGAAAGATCATCATGCAAGGTATGCACAGAGAAAAAGCAGGTGGATGGGAGGAAAGAGAGAAAGTTAATGGACAATGCAATTTGAGCGTCTTCAAGGGAAAGCACTCGCAGAAAATGAGCTGAAAATTTGGAGTCAAGAAACATGCAATTGATGTCTCACCACAAACACATTTTTAAGATAAATCAGCAAAGCGTAGTTTGTCTAAATAAGGGACTTTTTTACCTAATAAAAAAGGGGGGATTTAAGAACAAAAAATTTTGGAAAAGGAACTTCGGGAAATTTTACCCAAGGAAAAGAACATTGAAATTGTTCCGACAGTCCAACGTTAGACTCACTTCGCAATCAAAGAGAAAGAGAACTGATTCAAAAAATAAAATAAAATATAAAGCTCACTTTTATTTAGTGAAAGTAGCTTGCCTCTGATAATGCCCTAAAACCACGATCCCGTGAAGTATTCTCACTGACAATATTTTTGAGTGAACCAAGATCAGTTGTTAATAGAGCTGTTAACTCACCAACCTACAAGAAGAAAGCTAAATGAATTAGTAGGTAGACATAGAAAGATCAGTAAACAGAGATACCAAGCATATGAGTCTTATGTAGACAGCCAAACTTGGAAGGCCTAAGGAAGAGCGAGACCAAATATACACCGAGTAGTCCACCCTCCTCAACAGCATCCACGCAGGTCATAGTATCATCTACTCAGGGTTATATGATCTCTCTTATAGCTGAAAAACCTAATTCAAAGTTGCAAACCGACAGTGCTCACAGGCTGCCTCAGAAATTATTACACATACTTGCATCGAGTATGTTCTACGAGACATTTAGAAGCTTTAAGAGACCAAAATGGCAACATGAAACCTTCTAGATGCAGTATACTAATAACATAAGAACTTCTAGTTCTTTGCAAAAATATTGTACAAAATAACGAAGTCTTTGTTTTTTCCCCTTGTTTTCCTGTATTGTTCGAAGAATGTTCTTTTTTTTTTCTTTGATAAGTTTGTTCAAAGAAGGTTCTTAAGAAACTGAATATTTGTATATACATGAAATGAAAAATACAGAAAGAAGTACATAGAGACGCTCAAACGGAGACCAATCAAAAACCATTACAGCCACAGGTGTAAGAATTTTTCCAGAACAAAAAGGCACTTTGCTTCCTTAATAGTAGAGGAGTCTTCCTTGAATAAGCTGGGAAATTGTACAGCAGCATATATGAAAGGTAGTGCTCTCAAAAGCTACAAGTATGTAGACCAAGATGGCCAAAATAAAGGGACCTAAAAAGCAAGCAGTTTTAACCAGCACATCCTTAGACCTTCGTACAATTAAAAGTAAAATCTATTTGGAATTCACACAAGCACGCAAGGGCATGTACGAGCTAGTTATGACGGAAAATATAGCATAACAAATGAAGTAGCATACCTTGTAACGATCAAAAAATTCAACCTGCAAAGAGAAAGAAAGGTAAAGCATTAAAAAGGACGTGCTGAATGAGTTCGCACAGAAAATCTTGGCAAACATTTCCAAAGCAGATGAAGCCAAAAAGCAATATATATGTTCTTGTACATCAATAACTATTCAAAAATCAGTTGACTGATCTTTTTTGACAGGAAAATCAGTTGATTGATTTTTCCCATGCTACAATAAATCTTGGCAAACATTTCGAACTCAGTTGAAGTCAAAAGCAACATATGTCTTTCTGTGGGTCAATAACTATTCTGTAAATCAGCTGATTGATCTTCGCCATTTCAAAAGGTTTAAGCTGTGATTCTTAACAAGGTTAGCAGAATGCTACAGATACAAAGGAACCATGAGAAATAAAATAATTAAAGGATGTGATACCTTAAATCCATGAAAGCTAGTATGATACATTAGTATTGTCCTAGTCACAAAAGCTACAAAAGCACTATTAGGTTTGAATGCTGATAATTCATAAACATAGCATTCAATGTTTAAGATGTCATTTATAGTTACATCATCTTATAACAAACCATTATACATCAAGTTAAAATTTGGATAGCCACCTAATCTGATTTTGGCGTTCACCTTTTGAATCAGTACTCTCTGAAAAATTTGAGCCCTTAAGCTGGACATAACCTTCTCCCAAATGGAATTCATGTTCACCACGTAGATAATTGTAAAAATTGGCTCCAGTGCATACAGAAGTCCCACTTTACTGAGCAGTTCCAACAGAGGCTCTGGTCTTGTTCCAATAAGTACTTCAAAAAATCTTCCTGCAATGATAAGCTCAGGCAATTGTCAGGCCTATGCAGCATTAATTTTATATTTTTAAACATGAATGGTATATTTACTCGATATCAGCATTTTAACTAGTATTTCAAGAAATTTGGTCTAGTGCCACCACTCTACCAGAGTGTCTTTTCACTTGTGCTGAAATTTCACCTATAATCTTGCCTAATATGGGTGGTTGACTGGTAGCATCTTGAACTACCAAGCTAATTGACATAAATCACTTTTTCTCCTCTGCTTGGAAAGCGGATGACAGATTCTCATCTGCTTGATTTTCTTCAAAATATATTTTTTGATAACTGAGATACCCCGAGGACCAGTGGCGCAATGACCAAAACTCGGGACCTGCTCCTCTACTCCACTTAAAATACCAGGCTTTTGGTCTGCAGCAGGGTTTGAATCTGTGACGTGCGCCAAACCCACACATTACAATCTACACTCTTACCACTAGACCAAAGCTACGTTCTTCAAAATATAAGTACAAAGATATAACATTTCAACCAAAATAAGCAGACAGAAAATGGCAATTGGCAATGTTAAAAATTGGCTCTGGGTGGTCAAATAACTTTAACATGCGACATATAACACTTATACTTTTCTGCAAATAAAATAATATACGCCTATAATATTAACTTAAATATTTGGCTGGACTAGTTATATGATTCAAATATGCAACTGCACTGTAGTTTTGACCACCGTGTTGCCTTACGAAACAATGAAATGCGAACTCTGTCATTCTTAACTGTCAAGTGAATTAAACATACTTATCACTTCTCCATACACCCCTATTATCTCTAGCATTAGCATGTTTAAGAGAGAAACATCCATCATCTTGAAATGATGTAGCTAGAGGTGCTTAACAAAATCCTAAGCAAGTCCACACGTTGATAACTGGTCTTGTATGAACTTAATTCAATAGCAAAAGATTTTGAAGGAGTATTCCATATCCTCACTCTGACATGCTTAACAATAATCTTTCACAGAGATTTATAATTCTCCAACGCTAATTGCTTTAGACAAGCAACAAAAAGCAAACAATTTCGCCGATCTTACAGTTTGTGGAAAATACATTTTTTTAAAATTGAATACTGAAATTTGACACGAGAAATAAGATTTAGGTTGCCCTCTGACTGGCTTAAACCCTGAAATATCCATTATGAAATACAACTCTTTTCAAAAAATGCAATTGCTGGCACTTTATTTCCTCCTAATTACTGAAAATCAATACTCTTTTCTAAAACAGTATAGTAAAAACCTAATAGGAGCAGTACTCCTTTTTCAACTTATATGACATTCTTTCCAATTTGAGACGTTACATAGGATTTGATACTATTCTATTCTTAATTCAACATTTCACTCATCGAACTAATCAAACAGATGGAGTAAATTTTATCTATTTTTCAGAGAATGCATACCGGAAAGTAAAGGCATGGTGAGAGTACAAGCTGTACAGCCGATAAGAGTGAGAACAGAAGCAATGAGCCTCAACTTGTGGCGAGAAACAAGTTTCCACATAAAACCCCAACTGATAACTTCAATTGGCTCAACTGCCACGAAACTATCATCCGATTCTTCGAATTTAGGATCGTTTTCTGAAACAATAGCATCGAAAGCAGGGCCTGTAATGTAAGCTGAAGATATCGCGGACCGTTTCAGTTTCCGGCAACTAATGAATTGCGGACGAAACGGACGTTGTGTTGAAGAGATAGGGAAGTGAGATGGTCGCCGGATTAAGACTTGTTGATTGCGCCGCCGTTGTGTAATGGCGGGGTTGAGAGAAAGACAGAAGGAGTTAGTTATAGTACTAGCCATGTTTTGTGTAAGAGCTTCCTTTGGAAAAATAAAATTGAGCTCTTCAGATTTTCATTTATATATGTAAAAATGGCAAGGAGAAGAGGAAAGACACTTGTCTTCCCTTTATCTGTAGTGTCCAAATTCTCAACTTGTCGCTTTTATTTCTTTTCAGTTAATCATGTTTGGTAACGTTAGGCATGTAGAAGGCTTTTAAAAGTGTAAAAGGCATGTAAAAGGCTTAGTGCCAGTTCGGACATAAAATTTGATGGAAGATTTTTTTAGAAAAATTTTACTTTTTTTCGAAATCAGCGTTTGTTCATAAAATTTTCAATTTTCACTTGAAGATGTATTTTGGAAAATTTTGAAAATATAAAAAACTGCAAAAAACTGTTTTTCAAAATTTTCACTCGAATCACTCACAAAACTTCAAAAACAACCCAAACTTAAATTTATGTCCAAACGCAACTCTAAATTTCAAATACCATTTTTACTTGAATTTTTTTTTCACCATTTTTTCGAATTTTACAATAACGTCTACTTAATATATACACAGCTTCAGAACTTGGCAGCAATTTTTATTCAAACAATTCAAATAAGGTGTAATTTATTGAACACTTGATCTACGTGCAAACTATACTTTGTTATATGTATAATTTTGTATGCCATTCTCTCCTTTCATCCCAACCAAAGCAATCATGATTTTTGTTATTGGGATTTGACAGGAAATGGAATTTTCTCAACAAAGACTTGCTACAAACTGATTAATCCAAATGCGAACAACTTGGTAAATTTCGATTGGATTTGGAAGTCAAAATGATCCAACAAGATAAAATTTCTTCTATGAAAATGTTTCCATAATAGACTTCCCACGCGCCATTATTTACATCACATGGGTTTGAACATCGATCCAATATGTCCAGTATCCAAATCAGAAGAGGAAACTCTTGAACATATTTTCACAACTTGTTCTGCTATCAATATGTATTGGACAACTTTAGGGCAGACCTTTTCTCATGCCAAAAGGAACACTCAGTGGATTCATAGTATTAGAAACCTAAGTTCTAATACCCCCTCCCCCTACCTATCTTGGGATAATCTCTTCCCCTTTGTCATGTGGAGCATTTGGGCAAATAGAAACTATAATAACCACAACAATACGGCCTTAAATTTAATCAATCACATGCAATCTCCCTTGCTTTAGAGTACAATCTACTCACTTCAAAAGAACCCTTAGTGGCCCAATCCCATACTATCAAGATTGCATGGTGCAAACCCTCTCCACATTTTTTCAAACTGAGCATAGACGAACTTTCCAACATAACTTAAATTTGGGAGGCATGGGTGGTGTTTTCAGAGACCATAGAGGAGACTGGGTAATGGGTTTCCAACACTCCAAACCCTCGACTTCCTCTCTTCAATCTGAACTAGAAGCTCTAAGGATAGGTCTTTCAATCGCTCTCAGTCATGGTTATTCTCCACTGGTGGTGGAAACAGATGCAACGAAGGTCATCAAAGTATTACATTCAAATTGTATGCCTTACAACTCTACTATTACTGATTGTAGGCGGTTAATGCACCAGCTGAAGCAACCGAAGATCATCCATAATTTTCGGGAGGGAAACAGGGTAGCTCACAAGATGGCTAAGGAAGGACTCAAGCATGCACGAAAACACCAATTTTTTGTCAATCCATTGCCTTTAGTATTAAATAAGCTAGCAATGGACAAAAATGGCTATGTGTATTTGCTTAAAAATTTCAGTACTCATGTGTGTTTTAGTTTGGCCGAAATTGGGAATTTAAATGTCCTCGAGGCTTGTACTTTTGTTAAGGATGTAATTGCCAGTACTTCGTAATGTTTTTAAATAAATTATCTTTTTCAGTCAAATATATATATATATATAAAATTTTGTACTACACATCTATCTTAATACTAGTTTCTGAATACAAATTTGTACAAAATTTTAAAAGATCACATAAATATTAGATAAAAATTGTACTTAAAGTCATTAGTTGAACAAAAAGTATACACCAACATATTTAACTAGTCTTGGGGTACGTGCTTTGTGCGTGAATTTATATTGATGAGTATATAATTTCAAATAATAATATTAATATTATTAAGTAATATATTTGAGTTATGTAATATATTTTTTTTGGCTAAGAGAAGAGATTATTATTAATGCAGAAATTTAAGAAGTGTCATTACAGGCCGGGACAGATCTAAACGATACAGTACCTAATAAGTCTTTGCAGAAAGTAGAGAAAGCAAATGAAGGTGGTTCACTCCAGGAGTGGTCTTCACACTCAGCGTAAGTAGTGAGTTGTAGTTGCTCCCATACTGCGCCAGTGTGTGCGCCACTTGGTTTCCTTCACGGTAAACATGCCTAACATCCGGATGGCCCAGTCCGTCGAGTAGGAACCTGCAGTTACGTAGAAAATTAACATTAGCTTTATTGTTCACTTGTCATGTAATAGGGAGAGTATTACCTGGCACCTGCAATAAAAATTATTAGAAAAAGTGTAAGTTATAAGAACTTCTGCAAGAATATCTTATAAAAATTATTTTTATTTCTATGGCCTTATACTAAACATAAACAACAAATAACACGAAAATATTTTTATCATGATTCTGTAAAGATTTATCAAATAAAATAAAGTTAATTTTTTTTGTTGGTCTTTTAGAGGTTTTTGTTTGTTTGTTGATAAAGGTCTTTTAGAGATTTGATGCAACGACACAATCAGTCGTTTTGCTTTCTAGAACCCCGTTCCCCTAAATAAGACTTCCCGTACATACTTTTACAGTTTCATGACTTACGAGGATGGTTAGTTTGGGATTTGGAGGGGTTCGGGTTGAAATCGGAACACTTGGTTCCTTAAGGTTGGCTTAAAAGGCCAAGTTTGACTTCGGTCAACATTTTGAGTAAACAACTCGGAATCGGGATTTGACGGTTCCAATAGGTTCGTATGATGATTTCGGACGTGGGCGTATATTCAAAGCGGATTTTGGATGACCCGGGAGCATTTTTGCGCCTAATAGTGAAAGTTGGCATTTTAAGCATATTCCATAAGTTTAGGTTGAAATGGATTTTACATTCTAGACGTCTGTTTGGGATTCCAAGCCCCGAAATAGCTTCGTATGGTGATTCTGGACTTAGGAGCACGTCCGAAAGTGGATTCGGAGGTCCGTAGGTCGTTTCGGAGTCATTTGGTGAAAGTTAGAAACTTGAAGTTTTTGGAAAGTTTGACCGAGGGTGGACTTTTTGATATCGGGTTCGGATTCCAGTTCCGGAAGTTGGAGTAGGTCCATAATGTCATTTAAGACTTGCACACAAAGTTTGGCATCACTCCGAGTTGATTTGATAGGAATCGGACACACATAAGTGGTTTAGATGTTTTTGGAGTTCATGAGTAAATTCATGCGTTTTGGCGTCCAATTCGTGACTTTTGATGTTATTTCAGTGTTCCGATCACGCGAGCAAGTTTGTATGATGTTTCTAAACTTGTGTGGGTAATTGTTGTGGAGCCACGAGGGTTCGGGTGAGTTTTGGACATTCCAAAGGGATGAAAAACACACCAGATTTCTGGTGTTTCTTAGCATCAGTTGCAGGTCTCGCAAATGCGAGAAATAGTTTGCAAATGCGAACCTCGCATTTGCGAGAAGAGCTTCGCAATTGCGAAGAAGCTCGACTGGGTCATTGTTCGCATTTGCGTCACCTGAGTCGCATTTGCGACCTCAGCAGTCATCGCATTTGCGACCCCTGCGTCACATTTGCGACCTGAGTAGCTGAAGCCAGGCTTCGCATTTGCGAGTGTTTTGTCGCATTTGCGAACCTGGTGACGCAAATGCGACATTAGAGGCTTGTGCCCAGCTCTTTTAATGCGGGACTTAGGCCATTTATTTCATTTCACTTCATCTGTTGGGCGAATTTTGGAGCTTTTGGAAGAGGGTTTTCACCTAGCACTTTGAGGTAAGTAATTTCTACACAACATGAGTTAAATACATAGATTATGGGTAGATTAACATGTAAAAATTAGTGAAAATCGTTTAGATGGAAACCTAAGTTCTTGATAAAAATGAGATTTGATCATGAAATTGGTTATGGAACTTAGTAAAAATTATATATTTATGTTCCTAAGGCTATGGGTAACAACTTTCTTCAAAAAATTCCAAAATCCGCGAACGTGGGCCCGGGGGAGAAATCTTGCAATTTGGGTTGGGTAATCACTTTAATAGTGGAGATATGAACTTTTGAGCATAAGTTGATTAGTTTATGTAATGTTTGACTAGTTTCGAGTCGTTTGGCATCGAATTAGGAGGTTTGAGCGCATTCTTGAATTGGGAAGTAGGCTTGAGACGAGGTAAGTCTCCTTTCTAACCTTGTAAGAGGGAATTAACCCCATAGGTGAATTAAATAAATGTGTGTACCTATTTGTGGGGGGCTACGTATGTACGAGGTGACGACAGTCCGTACGTAGCTACTAATATACTATTGTTCGGGTAGTTTAGGACCCATATCATGCTTCATTTGAAATGTTTGCGCCCTTACTTGCTAATTTAATTACTTGAGTCAAGTCGAAATTTCATAAAAGAAGTGTAAAAGGTTAAATTCACTTACTCGAAGATTTAATGGAATACTTGACTGTAAATGTGTAATTTGTGTTTTCTTGAAAATAATTGCTCTATGTGGATCGGGCCGAGCACCTCAGCAGTAAATAGATGCATCTATGGTTTGCACCCTTCGACCCTTCGGCAGTGCACAATTTATATATTATGTTGGAATGGACCGTACAACCTCGACATAATTTGCGCATGATAATTATTTGGAACTCTCCATGATTGATATTGCTTAAAGGTCTTGAAGTGTAAGCTATTAAATGGTATAACTGAAATTTAAAGTATATTTGCGAAAGAAGAACTTATCATTTTCTGTTATTGAGCTTTCAGTATTATTCATGAAATCCATACTTAGTATAACACTTTAATTATATCATTGTTAGCCCATAGTAAATGTCAAAGTTGACCCCTCGTCACTACTATTTCAAGGTTAGACTGGATACTTACTGGGTACATGTACTACACGTCTGTACTTAATTGTACAGGTTCTGAGGCAGGTGCATCTAGTTACCCGTCCGGCGCGCGTAGTTGATCCCCACCTCGA